TGCTCTGGACATTCCGAATAATCCGGGGCCACAGTTCCTCCCTGAAATTGGAAGATTTCTTCGAAGTAGCCACCACATCTCTCCTCCGTGACCATCCTTACAAGGTCACAAACGAACGCACTCGATTAGACCTCCGAAAATATTTTCTTGGTCAACGCGTGGTCCGACATTGGAACTTGCTACCAAGCGAGACGGTTTCCGCTGACACAATTGCGGAGTGCGGTCCGACCTTGGAACTTGCTACCAAGCGAGACGGTCTCCGCCGACACAATTGCGGAGTTTAAAAGAAGACTCGATGTCATTCTATTTGAAAAAAGGTGACTTTTACAATACGATTTCCTACTGCCAGCATTGTAAACAATTTTTCTGGCTCTAGACTGTTTCTTCTGTTCCGTGAAAATTCATTCGAACTTCTGTCATGGTATCATATGTCCTCCACCAAGTGCACATTAACTGTAAGAATAACATTGCTTGCTTTACATTAATAGGGTCCACAAGGGCATTTATTGCCTGTAACCCTTAAATACACATATAAATATTCCTGTATAAGGACTCTCCGTTACGAATTCAAGTAAAAAACGCCGGTTTTATTTATATGTAGTTTCCTAAATGTGATTAATACACATCGTAACCTCTCGGTTTACAAAAATGTCCAACTGCGGCGTATACTTCAAAGAAATATATGACTTTGTGTGGATAAAGAAACTGTCGGGACCTGTCGGGCACCATTTGATCTGCGCTATCGTCGCGTTTAGGTAGGAACACACACGAGCGGATAAGAGACCTGTAGTAGTTCTCCGGTTATGTACTACGGGACATACTCGCTTATCATCGCAAACACACTTATAGGGGCGGAGAAGAATAACAGGCTTTTAACGTAAAGGTCTATTATTATAAAGCAATGAGTAAGTAGAAAATGGTAAAAGGGTAACTTACCAAAATAACGTCAAAGCCATACGCAATCCATTCGTATGGAGCGAGGGATGGCCAAGGAATATTAAATAGATGCCGATAGTTAGTCCAGCGCTGCCAGCATCTGTTAGAGCCATGGAGGCGCTGCCGAGACGGGATATACGGTACGTCACGATAACGGTAACAGGGAGAAGTCAACGATAAGGAGGGAAGGAACACCG